GATACAAACTCCCAAAGCTTTCATTTGAAAGTGCAAGAGGAGTAGGATACTCAATTATTCCAGTTAAGAACACTTACTGAGAATCTATTACGAGGTTACTTAGCTGTAGCATGATTTTCTCACAACTAAGAAATCCTGCACTAAATGGGAATAAGTTTACACAGCTTAGAAGATGATGCTGACAGCTTTCTAAAGCCAGCCCTTACACAAGACTTGGCTTATTTTATTTTCAGAGAGACGTACTGAATGAGATAGCCATCACCACTCAACCCAAGCATACGAGCATTTGCACGAACTACATCCATCCGCATCGGAGGTCCCGGGCAAATACAGACCTTGTGCTCTCTGCAGAAGACAACAGTTTTTCTTGGTTACTGCTGTATTATAGGAAATGACACTGATATTTGCAGAAGAGAGAGTGTGTATTTTGAAGATCACATAATTTACAAAAGGCCCCACACCCAGTCTCTTCATCCTGTGCTGCTTCTGTACAGCAAAGTTAGCATTCTGTTTCCTCCAAACGAAACAGTACCTTCAGACCCTCTCTCTGCCCTGCACACCTCAAGAGCATTTATGCCTCTTTGCCATGGTTTCTACCAGTAAGTAATGGCCACAATGCATTTATGACAGCACCTCAAGCAAGAGTGCATACTTCACCAAAGGGACACGACCCTAATGAAGTTCATGAGAAAATAAGAAAGGGGAACACAAAGGGGAAGGGAAGAAAGTTATTCTCGCTTCTCCAAAGGGAATAAATGTTTCTGACAGGAGAAGGTTTGTTTTCAGAGAGCTGTAATTTAAGCCAAAAGGCCAGCTTATTAAACAAAAGCAGCCCCTTCACCCACCTATAAAAACCTATAAAAAACCCATTTTTAATTTAGATCTGTCTCTGAAATGAATGAAGAGAATCTGAATGTTGAAGAAACCGAAGAGTCTGCTTTGCTACCAAACAAATCAGACTGTGCAAATCCATGTTGTTTATCTTCAGTGCTGAGTCACAACTGGATGCTGGAGGTGCCTCACCAAATACCACACCCTGGGAGCATTTCTGCACTTCCCCTCCTACCACAACTCTGCCATGAAAAAGTCCTACAGTGATGTGATGAGAAGTGATATTTTCCTGCCATATGGTGTATGTGTATTTAAGACTTTCACAAACATTTGGCCAAAAATTGTATATTATAGTATTTCCCAAGTCACAAACATTACACAAGCCATTCTTACAGGATATGCTGTCCAAGGACACACGACCTCAACCTTATTTCTTTCTCCCATCCACCAAGAAAAGCATTGCATTCTTGCAGGCTTTGATGGTAAGCCTTCAGCTTCTGGAACGCAGTAGGAAAACTTCTGCATTTTTCAGGGACTCAAAAAAAACCCCCCAACATTTAGTTCATAAATTCAATGTACAACATTTTCAGTAAGTGCTTTCACACTCTGTTCATAAGAACAGTTAGGTCACTTCACACCACAGAGGTGGTACTTTCTGGATTTACACGCATCAACCTTGAAGCATTTCTCAGATCCTGCAGCTGCTTGGCTGGCTTTCCGACTCCTTCCTCAAATCTTTTTTCCACAACAGGAAGGACAGTTTCATACAGGAAGGATGCATTCTGCCTAATGAAGGCTTTCTTCTCAGGGTCCTGTTCACATCGTAAACTGTAATCAACGTGCTGGACAGCCACCAGGATGATTTCCACGAGACTCTCTAACAGAACCATATGCAGCTCTGGAAAGTAAAGCTTTAACGCTTCTTCCAAGAAGGCCATAGTCTGCTTAGTGAAAGCTACTACGGTATAGCTAAGGTTGACCCAGCAGTCGTCACCTGTGTATTGGTCAAAATTGCCCACCCCACAGCTCCTCATCTCCTCCCTGAGTTTCCCCAGAGCCTCTGGAGTCATTAGGTTCATCCTTCTCCACATTTCCTCAGAGTTGCGGTGCTTGGTTGCCTCAATGATGATATCCTTGTAGCTCTGTAAAGCACCTTTGATATCCTTCACCAGAAGGGCATGAATGATGAAGGTGAGATCCAGCCCAATCTCACTGAGCTGCTTGCAGTGTTCTTTAGCTACCTTGGATATTAAAAAAAGCAAAGGGTGTTACTAGAGTGTAGCAGTGGGACCCTTTTACATCTTACACATTTACCATTCTCAGAAAACGGTGAAGCATCAGTCATACTTCACTCCTTTCTCCTGCTTTAAGAAATTCCTTATTAATGAGAAATTAATAACTGAAAGATAAACCCCGCCTATCAAAAATACTCTGCACAATCACATTATAACCCCACATGCACACACTTTTTTTTCCCTATTAGCAGCTGAAATAAATTATAACCTGAGAAAGTTTGTCTTGCAAAAAATTATAGAAATGTAGTCTAGGACAGGCTTGGAAAACAAACAAAGTCTTCAAAATACTCATAATTCAGATGCAGCTTATGTAAATTTTAGGATCTCCTACTGGTTAAAGGCAAATTAAGAATAAAAACATATTGCATTTCTGATAAAGGTAGAGTTTTTCTTCCTGTGAACTTTCATCTTAATGCTTCTCTCTGTTAAACTGAAAAAATAACCACCAAACACCACCAAACCAACCCCAGACCAATATTAACCTTTCAATGAAGAAGACCTCTCCAGAGATCCACACAAGAGCTAACAACGTACAATCACATTATAACCCCACATGCACACACTTTTTTTTTTCCCCTATTAGCAGCTGAAATAAATTACAACCTGATAAAGTTTGTCTTGCAAAAAATTATAGAAATGTAGTCTAGGACAGGCTTGGAAAACAAACAAAGTCTTCAAAATACTCATAATTCAGATGCAGCTTATGTAAATTTTAGGATCTCCTACTGGTTAAAGGCAAATTAAGAATAAAAACATATTGCATTTCTGATAAAGGTAGAGTTTTTCTTCCTGTGAGCTTTCATCTTAATGCTTCCCTCTGTTAAAGTGTCTGATAAAGGTAGAGTTTTTCTTCCTGTGAACTTTCATCTTAATGCTTCTCTCTGTTAAACTGAAAAAATAACCACCAAACACCACCAAACCAACCCCAGACCAATATTAACCTTTCAATGAAGAAGACCTCTCCAGAGATCCACACAAGAGCTAACAACTAACCTAGGGTTAGAAAAGAGGATTTCCAAGCTTCACCTTTGTTCTGGTATCCACACAAGAGCTAACAACTAACCTAGGGTTAGAAAAGAGGATTTCCAGGCTTCACCTTTGTTCTGGTCATCACATCACGTCACATCACCCTCTTTGGACCCTCTTACCTTGACACACTCTGCTGCAGTCGACAAGCTCTCTTTACTATCAAATACTTGCTTACTGAAGGCATCTACAAACATCCTCATGGAGGAGCGGGCCCAGACAACGAAGGCCGAGTAGCAGCCGTTGTTACCAGCGAAGTCTGTCTCAAACTCTCTCGCCGTCTCTAGAAGGCTGGTGAAGAAGACATGGCAGAGCTTGTGGATGTAGAGCAGCGTGGCGCCCTCGATGCGCAGCTGTCGGATGGCTGTCTGCACCGCGGCCGCCCGGTTCTTCAGGAAGAGCTCACACGCCTTGGTGGACTGGCCCAAGCGAATGAGCTGGGACACGGCACGGCGGGTGGCCCGTGGCCCTCCCCGCAGCGAGCGGTCTGGAGACAGCTCAAACACCAGCACGTCTGTAAGCTGCCGGACACGCTCGTCCACCTTGGCCCGCAGCTCCTTCACAGGCTGGCTCACAGGCTTGTCCCCCAGGTACTCGTTGAGTTTATCCAAGAGGTCCACTGCCCCCTCGAAGTCCCGCTGAGCGATGCAGACGTCCAGGTCCTCAGGCAGTTCCTGGATCCACTCAAGTGAGAGGTCAACCACCTCCTCCTCAGCAGAAGGCTCTTCTTCGTCCTCATCCTCATCCTCCTCAAAGGGGTTGGTGGATTCGGGGGGCGTTGGGGCAGGTCGGGGCAGGGCCTCCTGCTCCAGGCGTCGCTTCTCACTGAGGGCCCGGTTGCGCTTGGTCTCCTCCAGCACCTCCAGCCACTCCTTCTTGATCTTGGCGTTCTCGGCCTGGAAGATGCGGCTCTCGGGGAACATGAGCAGCTTGAACATGTCCTTCATGGGCGGGTTGTCCTTGACGTTGACCACAGCCAGCCCATCGAGGGGGTAGAGGGCATCGTAGCGGTAGGCGCCGCGGCGGTTGGGAAGGGCGGTGGCCACCAGCAGGCAGTCGTTCATGAGGAAGGCGTGCACCCGCTGGATCTGCGCCATGTGGTCGGCATCGTACTCCACCAGGTCCCCATTGTAGACCAGGTACTTGCCGGGGCTCTCGGGCAGGAGGTCTCGGCAGCCCTCCACCTTCTCCAGGAGAGTGGTGAGGGTGCGCTGCCGGCCCTCCTCGTTGGCCGCGGCCTCCTTGGCCGACAGCGGCAGGAAGGGGTCAGCGGCGGCGCGGCGGGCGCCCAGGGCGGGGTCGTCACGGTCGGCCTGGAGGAGCAGGGCCTGGGTGACGGCCTCCATGATGCCCTTCTGCTCGGTCAGGATGTGGCTGAGCTGGTACATCTCGCTCTCCAGGTAGCTGATCTCCCGCGCCGTCTCGATGAACTGCCGGTAGTTCTGGTAAACGTTGCGCTTCAGGCTCTGGGCCGTCTCCTCGCTCAGCGCCTGGATGCGCTGCCGGTGCTCCTGCAGGTCCCGGTCGCCGTCCGACTGCTGCGACAGCTGCTTCACGTACTCCCCCGCCGCGAAACCCCCCGACTCCAGCTGCCGCCGCAGCCGGCTCCCGCCGCCTTCGCCCAACGACAGCGCCATCGCCATAGCCGCCCGCTCCGCCCAGACCCACCGACCGGTGCCCGTTCCGCCGCCGCCGCCGCCGGGGACACCGCCGCGCCTGCGCCGTCCTCGCCGCGCCCAACGCGCATGCGCGGGCGCCCCCCCCCCCGGCCCGTTGGGCGCACGCACAGTGGGAGGGCGGCCGTTTCGGCGGTGGCGCAGCGCGCGTGCGCACAGCGGCTCTGGCGGCGCCGGGTGGCTCTAGCGCCGGGCCGGTGGAGCGGCACCGCGGCCGCGATGGCGGCGGCGGAGGATGAGGATTTCGTGCTGGCGCTGCAGCTCCAGGAGCTGTGGGAAGCGGAGGATAAGGAGGCGGCAGCGGCGGCAGCAGCGGCGTGCCCTGAGGCCTCGCCGGCCCCTGAGGCCTGGCCGGCGCCCTCGCCGCTCCGCCCGCTGTCGGTGGTGGATGAGGCCTGGGAGCTGCTGGACCCCAGCCCCGACGTGCACGGCCTCTTCGTGCAGTTCAACGAGACGCTCTTCTGGGGCCGGCTGGCGGCTGTGGAGGTGTCGTGGAGCCCACGCATGACCCTGTACGCCGCCGTGGTGGGGGGGTTGCTCTGGGTCGGGCCGGAGGGCAGCTCTGCGTGGGGAACGGGGCCGGGGCTCCTGCCAGGCATCGCCGGGCCCCGGCGGGGAGCCGAGGGGGCTCTCCAGCCGGCAGCGGGCAGGCGGCAGGGGAAGCCGGTCCTTCCCGAGCAGCGCTGCCGAATGGCGTTCACCGGCCCCGGGTTTCAGCAGGTGCCTCTGAAGGGCCCAGCTGTGTGCCGGTGCTGTGTCAGACTGTCAGAAGAGCCTGTCACCTGTCATATGAGCGATGGCTCTTCTCATCGTGCAGCTGCGGGCTTTAGGGAGGGAGAGGAAAAGCTGTTATTTGTCACTATATGCTGCTCCTCGCTGCAGCTTCATAGGCACGACCTACTAGTTACCACAGCTTCTCTTCCAGGGTTTTGAATGTCCTGCTTTTCTAACATAGCTTGTACCTCAGGATGTGGGTTGGTCACTGTTGTCGTTTTTTCCTTCATTTGGCACCCTTAGCTGCCATAAATGGCTTTTCCTGTGGTGCAGGCAAAACTAGAGAGGTGTTAAAGTGGAATAAATAACTTGGTCTTCAACTGTGTATGTTGAAACTTAAAAGAACATACTTCTCTTGCTGTCATTTTTCTTACTCTATTTTTATGATAGTTTTACAGCATGGCAGAAAGGTAAATACGAAATTATAGTAATATATTAACAAGATTTAGAATAGAGTAGGAAGGGGAATATACAAGAAAGCTGAGATCTAAAACAAGAAAAAAAACCTTTGAAGTGCAGGCTGCAGTTCTGCAGCAGATGAGCTGATGCAATTGCTGCCTGCTGGAGTCCTGCCCCTCTTGTCCTCTGCTGGTTGACGTGTGAAAATACTTGGGTACTGAACTGGTAGAGGAGTAACATAATCACAACAACAAAAAAAAAGCCAGAATTTTGAGATATTTCTGCTATGCAGAAGTGAGGATAAGTAAAGTTGGGTGAGGGGTAAAGTTGTAGCATTGAGGAGTTAAGTCCATGTTGGCTGCTGTGAATCTCTAGTCTCTGTTTTATGTATTTCACTCCATCAACAGTTTTCATGAAAACCGTCCTCTGCCTCCTAAACAGGTTAGCTTGGAACAGTCCATTGTGATCTCCACCGTCCCCCCTCCCCCCTGAGGATTGCTAGCTTATAATTAAGTGATTGCAAGAGATCTAATAAATTATAGTATCTCTTTTGGTAGTTCAGTCAGAGTTTATTCTAAGAAACTTGTGGGTTTTTTGTCTTGCTTAATGATTAAACTCAACAGAAATGAATGAAAATGAAAGCAGAATTTTCCAAGTAACTACTAAAAGTGTTTTTTCATGTTCTGAGTTACCTACTGTGTGTTGGAAGGGGCCAGCATTTTAACTCCGGTTCTCAGTTTTCTGTATGTACTACAGAAAGGAGTAGCTTTTCATATTTGCTTTCCATGTCTCTTTCAGCTGTGCTGGAATCTGTAGATATGAAGGAAGAGGTGGAATGTGTTCCATTCGTCTAAGTGAGCCGCTCCTGAAGTTAAGACCAAGGAAGGATCTCGTTGAGGTATTTGAAAGTTGCTTATGAATCTGTACATAAAACGTAGAGTGTTTACCCCTGCCCCCCTGTAGACACATTTTACATTTTTTACTGGAATTCGTAAACACAGTGACTTGTAGGTCTTGAAATAGGGATGGCTTTATTGCTACATTTGTGTTGGTTATATTGCAATATCATGGTGGTCTTTCAGTTTTAAGCTTCAAAATGGGGAACTCCAAGTAGGGTTCTAAAGTCACTTGTTTATTTTACTGACTTTATAAAGAAAGAAAACAACTTTTTTTACTCCTAAGTTATCCGCTAATATTAAAAACAAGCATGGACTTAAAGGACAATCAGAAAATGGCTTTAGTTTCATACTTTAGGTCAAAAGGCCAACAGCAGAAAATAAGGATAAAGAATATGACTAAAAACATAACTATTTGTTGTTTCTTGTGCCTCTGTCAGGGCTGCTGGTTTGAGTTGGCTCAACATTCGTATTTGCTTAATGAACAGAAATGCTGTAGAGTTTCAACTTTCTCACAAGGGTCTCTCTTTTGGAATGCAGAGGGGATGATCTCTTTAAAGATCTGGCTTAAGTTTGAGGATTATTTCTCTTGTTCAGAATGTCACTTACTGTAGTAATATTCCCCAGCATGTTTTGGTGGTATGGGAGTAGACGTAATTTGATTTGACAAGTGGAATAATTATTATATTTTTATGACTCAGGCTGAACATGTGAATGCATGAAAATAAGATGTAAATACCAAGATAAATGTAGAGGAGTAAAATACTTCCAGCTTAATTTTGGAACTATATGTAATGCTTTTCAGTAAATAGCTAATGATTTGCATCCTTTCAGACGCTGTTGCATGAAATGATCCATGCTCTGCTTTTTGTTACTAATAATGACAAAGATCGTGAATCTCACGGGCCAGAGTTCTGCAAACACATGCGTCGCATTAATCGCTTGACTGGAGCCAATGTCACAGTAAGCATAATCCACTTAACCTAATTTAATAGAGATTTTTTCCTGATTTGGTTTTTCAGTAAGCCTGGTGTGGTATGAGTAATACACTTGTTCTTGTTAAACAGTCAGCAGTTGGTACCAACACAAATTTGCATCCAAGTGTATGCCAGTTCCATAGTTATTTTGTTAGGCATGGTGGTGGGAACAGGTTGAGGAAGATGTGGTGAGTTATTAGTCATATAATTCTCAAGTATATTCTCTGTAAGTATTTTTTTCTTTAAACTTTTGTTTTGAACTTGAAACAACTTAATGACAACAACCGGGGACAGAATAGCTCCATTTTCAGAATAGTATTTGAGGAAGAGCACTCTTGTTTTAGTTAAGATTTATTTCAATAGAGGCTAATGGGTTGATGATATTTAAAAATAATGTGTCTGATAAGATTAAGATAATAGCTGGAGGAAGTATATAATACAGGTATTGTTCACAATGCATTCTAAATAGTACATCATTTAGGTTGAAATTGCAGATAGATTTTCAAAATTATTTTATTGCAGTTCAAACAAGACGGCCAGGACATATTCTCTTTTTTTAAAAAAAAAAAAAGCTATGTTTTAATGGTAGCTAAATGTTAATCAAATTTTATCCAGGTTCAGCACTTTTAACTGATAATGTAAAAATTACAGCAGGAATGAAAGGAATGAAATGGTAATATGTTTTTACAAAAATATGGTGGAGCTAGTGATATAAAATTAGACACTTTCTGAGTGACTGCTTTGTTTTGTTTTAAACCTAGATCTGTCATACTTTTCATGATGAGGTAGATTTGTACCGCCAGCACTGGTGGCGATGCAATGGCCCCTGTCAAAATAGAAAACCTTATTTCGGGTACGTGAAACGTTCGATGAATAGAGCACCCTCTGCACGAGACTTTTGGTGGGCTGAGCATCAAGAGACGTGTGGAGGTACATTCACAAAAGTGAAGGAGCCAGAGAACTTCTCTAAGAAATCCAAGGAGAAAACCCAACCAGCTAAACTTCCAAATTCTGAGCCAACTAACAAAGGTATTTAAGATAATTTATTTTTTTTCTTTTCCAAACAGTTCCTTGAACAAATACAGATCAACCACTACATGAGCTTTGGTTACACATTACTGTTATGTAGCAAAGAACACGGCCCATTTTATTTGTGCATTTCTAGGTTCCTTCTCAAATTAATTGTTTGCAAAAGGTTTAGTTTGCTAGGCTCTTTTCAAGCAGCGGATTTTTCAGGCAAAGTACATGAAATACTAAGTCCATGATTTATATATGAAAATTTGCTTTACTTACTTTCTTCTCTGATTTTTCAGGCAAGACGCAAACACATGATACGCAAGATCTGATGCCTTTTAGTGGAAAGGGATATCGGCTTGGAGGAGGAGACAGTGTACTCTCAGAAAAAAGCATAAATTCCAGCAGCAGTGTTAGAAACAGTGACACACCTGGTTCACAGCATCGTTCAGCAGTAAAGACAATACCAATCCCTAAAAATGAGATAAAATTTGAAAAATCGCCCCGTAGTGGCATCTTCTTTCCATTTTATACTGACGACGCCAGTGAGAAAATCAACTTGGCTTCGAAGCGTGAGTTTCCGAAACCCTCTGTTGCTAATACAAAAGCTTACAAGAGTGTTGGTGGATCGCCTGTTAAAATTGCTCCTGTTATGGAAGAAAAATCAAACCAAGGTTCTGCAAAGGGCAAGAGGCTTATTCCGTTTCATGAGAGGCCACCAAAACAAGTTTGTTTTGAGCGGACAACAACAGCTGAGGTTGCAACAGAGAAAAAAAGCTCAGAATCTATTAATACACTGCAGCAATGGCCAAAAACGGAAGACAAAACTGCTTTTGAAAACTATTTCATTAAAAAAGGGAGCAGTGATACTCCTTCAAGTATAAATACACCTATGAAAATCAAAACTGAATGTACAGTGTCCTCTGCAAGTTCTAGTGCTGCTGTAAGGCAGGATAAAAAAGTCAGTTGTCCTGTTTGCCAGGCTGAGGTTTTGGAGTCTAAAATAAATGAGCACCTTGATTCTTGTCTTGCATAAAACCTTTCAGAAAGCTGTCTCAAAAAGATAAACCAAGGCTGAAAACGTTGCTTGAGAACTACTTTGCTCAGGGTTTGCTTAGCTGTGGTTATTTCACTGTGTGCCTGTCCTGAACTGGAATGTAAACTGCTGTCAGCATGCTGAACAACAAGTTCTGTGGAGGTGCACATCAGCACTGACTAGGAAGCTTGCTGCTACTCATGTTCCAAAGAATCAAACACTCATGTTTTAGTAGGTGGATGTTTCTGCCGACGTTCTTGCTGCAGAATCTGAGTAATACAAGAGAAAGTGGATACTTGCCAAACTGCATGTTTTCAAGGCAGTTTTTAAAATCAAGATATTTTCAATCCTGCTATTTTTTTCTTTGTTCTTAAGACCCCTTTGTGGTGTTTTTTTAAGTGTTTTGTGCCATTCTTAATGCTAACCACTTATAATAGATAAAAATTGTTCTGTTTACTGCAATGTAATTAAGTGGCAGGTATTTTTAGAGTAGTAAATATTTTACATAAGCCACAACTACACTCTCAGGTGGCCCTTCTCACCTGTGACCTTTTTGAAAACATAGATGAGAGTAAGAATCTCAAATAGAGACTTATGTCAAAGATGGGAGAGGCACAGGTATCAAAAACATAGCAAAGCATCCGTTTGGATTTAATGGGTGGGTTGTGGCAGGAAAAGAGAAAATCCGGAAGGGCAATGAGGGTGCTGGGAAATCAAGCACAAGATACTTGTTTTCAAAAAGGATTTAAAAGTTAGCTGTACTGTTAATAGTTGGAGTGGTCAAATTACATGTGTCTTACTGTCTCTTGTTCTAGGATCCCAGCTAGACTCTCCACCCACTTTCTCTGACTGTTTGCACAAACTCTGTGTTGGAAGTTCACTAGTTTTTAGGATATAGATATTATGTGCATGAGAGACTGATCCCCCCATGCTGATACTCATAAGTAAAATGTTGTGAGGAATATTGGAAGCAATACTGGTAAAGACTGTTCCTGGCTGTATCATAAAAGCCTTTGTGATTTTTTCAGTTAAACTTCCAGTGCTTTACAGCCCAAAATGGCATTATCTTGACTGAGCTGACAGTCTTTGTTTTGCTGCTTCTGGAAGCCAGTGAGCTCAGTGGTTGGTATCCAACAAGCCAGCAAGTTGAGTACTAAAACCATTCTGCTGTGAAAAGTTCTGAACGCTGAGCAGATGTGTTTTCTGTATAAACTTTCTGAAAATGTTAACAGTTCTCATGCTGCACTGAAAGTATTTAACTGGTTAAACAGTTAACCGCTTGACTCTTTACTTGGAAAGCTGATGATAAATATTTTTGTTTAAAAAAAGAAAAAAAATAATTATGCTCTTTCATATATTGTTGCTACAACTTTAAATGGCTATATTAGCCTCAGATGCACATATGTTTGCCTTTATATAATCAACTACTTGCTGCTCCCTTTTGAAGTTGGGAAATAAACTGATGTGCAATGGGATTTGGCAAATGATACCTTTACTCTTCTTAAACATTGGTATATTTTTTTGAAATACTGATGCTACAGATATTTAATGTCGATTGGATTGTTCTTATATATTCTGAATAAATTGGTACTGAATTTTAACTTTTCATTAAGCCTGGGTTTCACATGGCACTTGTGGCCGTCTTGTGTTACTACCTCTATATCTAATAACAGTCTAGTTTAATATATTCTTTCTGTATTAACAATTTCCTTCTTAAATTTCCCTCGAAAAACAGGTGTTGGTGAATACAGACTGCATCAACTTCTGCCTTCTCCATCATATTTTTAGTACAGTTTCACTTTTGTTGCATTTCTGTAGAAAATTCTACAAATACCGATTCTAAAACTTAATTTGATGTCTTAATTTTCCATACTTCCTTCTTAAAACTGCAGTATCTTACAGTGTTCCCAGGGAAACTTGACTTTTACAAGGACAGTACTGCTCAGAAGTATCTGCGTGATTGTAAGGTTTCTTAAGGTGAGGACTAGGTCCACATCATGAATGGTCTGTCACATCATAAAGCATTTTTTGAGAGGTATTTCCCTTCCATTTCCCTTCCTATTGTTCCTGTCAGTTTCCTGGTTTGTCTTTCCCACTGCAACTGATGAGAGTAAAGGATTACTCCAGGAAGGGAGCATTGCGGGTATTGTTAAATACATTTTCATATTCAAATGGATTATTTTTCCTAATGTTATCTTTTACATCAGCAGTGTTAATTTGAACAAAAAATAGAAACAAATGTGGGAATTGGCTTGTAGAATTCAGTGAATAGTGTAGCTGGGGTGGGGGGTAGGGAACATAAGATATTGGTAACTCCTGTCTAAAATATACAACTGTACTAAAATAGATGTTTTCAAAACAACTGAGCAGTTCTGGACCAGCTGTGAAAAAACATCACCTCTGCCCATGTGTGTTTTTCAGCGAAGGATTATGGTGCCAAGATCTTTTTTACACAGAGATAAAGGTGAGGAAGAGCTTGGTGGACAGGCTTCGCAGTTGCTACCTGTTGCAGGTATTTTTAACTGGTCATGGCCTTGGTTTTTTGGGTATGTGAATGCTGTTGCTGTAAGATTTTGTTCTTGAATACAGTGTCCTTCCCAGAATGATAACAGTGAGTACCAGAATGCTTTTAAAATATGCTGGTAAATTTAGGTCAAAGGTGAGAAATTTCATCTTCTGTATGGGTTGACTTTGTCCTGAGAGAGTTTAGATGCTGTCTCTAACAGCACAAACTAGTAACGGATCTTGAATAAACATGCTTCACTGAACTACAAAATAGGTTGCCTGACTGGAAATCTGAGAAACAAGTTAATGTACTTGATCTCTGAGACAAATGAGGTACGAGGGAGGTCAACAAATGGTTCTGCAAACTAAAGGCAATCTCATCCTGTGGTCATCCACTGGCGTTGCTGAGAAGGATTCAGGTCACCTTTCATAGAGGTCATACTGCGAAGTGGGGGTTACTTAGCTGTGTCATTATTATGAAAGAGGTTGCTCTTAAGTTGCCTTGAAACTGAGAAATCTTGAAGGTCAAATGTTTTCAAGTATTTTTTTACTTTTTAAGGAAATGTTTATCTAGGAAGTTTCCATAATACTGGATGAGTTCTGATGAAGTAACTGGAAGTTGCATTTTTCTCCAGACTAATACGTTAGTATCATGCAAGAAAATACGTAATGAAAATAGTCTGGTTTGTAACATGTTTTAAAAGTGCTGTTCCTCTGTGCTTTACCACCTCCTGTTGTCCAACCACGGTTTGTGTTCCCTGGGGGTATCCAGGTCAGATGGGAGGTGTATTCCCACAGCAAGTTCAGCCCTAACTCCTATGGGTAAGCTGCTGAGGAAGCTATTTGTGGCTTGGTGGAACTGTGCTTCTCGGGCAGGGAAGGTGCTGCTGCTCAAACTGTGTAGGGATTAGTTACCTGAGCCTCCTTTCCAGGAACGTTTTCCAAGGGAACAACTAAACGATGTTCATTTGGAACAACCTACAGGAGGGGTCACGCTGTGCTGTGCTACCTGCTGCTGTACCAGCCTTAGTAATAAAGGGTACCAGGTAACGTGGTATAAAATCAAAGGCTGGAGAGTGCTTAGTTGTAACCAGATGACTAGTGAATAATTCCTGAAATGCAAAGTAGCTATTCAAACTTCAGGCTTCTCTTGCTGCAGCAGCAAGATGTACTGTAGAGTAAAGGGTTTGTGAGGATTTTTCTTCTTCCTCAAGCATTCTTTTGGAGCCCCTTAGCTCTGTTGTATTTTCCACACCCCGAGCAGCATGACCTCCTGAGGTTACATCAGACCTAAATTCCCCTATGAGCATGGTTATTGCTGCCTGACACAGCAGTGACAGCAGTGACAGGGCTGCTCTCCAGCAGCTGCTCCTTACCTGCCAGCCAGCAGTCACGGATTTTACACTCCAAACTAAAATACTCAAGTTCTTACTTGCCATCTGGATTATTACAGCTGTTTTGAAGTCTTGAGCTTGAAGAAACTGTTGTTTGCATATGAAGGTGAAGACTGTACATTAAATTATCCTTAAAGAATAGTTGATGGGTTGACAGGCCATGGAAGAGATTCACATTTCAGTATGTGCATGAAAATATGCTCTGTGTGTTTTCATAGACTCCTGTATATGGAAAAAAATACCAAGACACCAGGCTATATGGAGCTTTAGGGTTCTTCAACAGGCCATCAGGTGGCACTCCTTGCACTTAAGAAATACTTATTTCTTCCTCTCCAACCTGCACAGGGAACCAAGGGGAATTAGCAGCCTCCTGTTTCACCTACACCCGCACTCCAGGCTGAAGGTGGATCAGCAGGAACCCCGACTGGACCACAAACAAGCTAAAGGAGAAGGAATGGCAGGGGTGTAGATCTGGAACTAGCTGAGAGATGAGAGGTAAATTTACAACTAATTGGGATTTCTGTGAGTGTTTCTTCTAGCTTTGCAAGAAGTCCCAAGAGGGACTTGGAAGGTGAGACAGTAGCTCCCAGCAGGTCGAGGGAGGTGATTCTCCCCCTCTACTCTGGTTTCGTGAGACCCCCACCTGAAGTACTGTGTCCAGCTTTGGAGTCCTCAACACAGGAAGGACATGGACCTGTTGGAACCAGTCCAGCGGAGGGCCATGAAAATGATCAGAGGGCTGGAGCACCTCTCCTGTGAAGACAGGCTGAGAGAGCTGGGGTTGTTCAGCCTGGAGAAGAAAAGGCTCTGGGGAGACCTTATAGCAGCCTTTCAGTACCTAAAGGGGGCACACAGAAGACATGGGGAGGGACTCTTTAACAGGGAGTGGAGTGATAAGATGAGGGGTAATGGTTGTAAACTGAAAAAGGGGAGATCTAGATTAGATACCAGAAAGAAATTCTTTACTGAGAGGGTGGTGAGGCACTGGAACAGGTTGCCCAGAGAAGCTGTGGATGCCCCATCCCTGGAGATGTTCAAGGCCAGGCTGGATGGGGCTTTGAGCAACCTGCTCTAGTGGGAGGTGTCCCTGCCCATGGCAGGGGGGTTGGAACTCGATGATCTTTAAGGTCCCTTCCACCTCTAACCATTCTATGATCTCTAGTTCAGGCTCAGGGAATAACCCAAAAGGCATCCTTTTGTGGTCGCCGCATATAGCATTGCTTACATTCACTGCAGTGAAAATCTAATTTTCTGGCACCATTTGGCATCAACCCAGCTCCTCAAGAGAGGCAGGATGGAGTTGAGGGAAGGCAGAGGGATTTATAAAACACAAAACTTATCTCCTGCACCTCACTAAGCCTGGGAGCTGGAGGGGTGCTGGGCTGTAGGTGTGAAAGCTAAAAAAGGGAGACAGCCACGGCCTTAATCCCTCCATTCGCTTTGAGCTTCCGCCAGGCCAGGCTGCTTTAAGACTAGATTAAGTTTCTAAGAAGGTGCAGCAGCTTGGCCTGAATAGCTCACCCTGTCTCTGTCCCACCCATCCCCTCTCCTCCACATCATTCCGTCTGCTTTTCTGTTCTAATATGTCTTACCCGACATTTCATAAACTGCATAACAAAGAATGTTTGAAGGAGCAAAAATCAACAAGGTAAATATTTGGTTCTCCCATTGTTTAATTTAGAGTACATGCTTTATTTTTCTTTAAATGCCATCCATCTCTGGACTATAATTTGTGTCCTCACTGCAAGTACCTTCTCTTTAGAGATGTCTCTGATTGCACAAGGTCTGGGGGAAAAGGTGGACCAGAAGTGAAGTCCCAGTACAGTTTCTTATCTATAGGACTATGGTTTAGTTGGGAGTTTCAGTTCTTCTAGCAGCTTTATTCAGTGACTTACCCATGGGGGAACAGCCAAAGGGCCCCACTGCTTCACTCCCCTGGCCTGTGTCTTCCCATTGACCACCCTGGTCTCTTCCCAGAAGCAACCCAGTAATTATCCGCTTTCTTCCCAGAAGGATCCATTTGGTGAGTGTGCTTGCCACCCATTTGTAAGCAGGTTTTGACTCACCAGGAGGGTGTGGGTTGTGTTTTGAAGCAGAAAAGCTGTGCAAATGGCTAGCTCAGAGGGTGGCCACCCACAGAAGCCAGCACGGGCTTGGGTACAAGATGGGACACATCCTGCCCCACAGCACCCACACGTGGCTTGAGGAACCACTAGCCATTTTGCTCAGCCTAAGGGCAGGGCAGCACTTCTCAGAAGCAGTCATTGGACCAGAGCACTTTTATTTTTCATGCCCCTTCCTTTTGAGCGCAGCGTGCAAAGTCCAGTGGTTTTGGCCTGTTTAATGTGTAACCCAGCACACACTTGCTATTTTACAGGCATTACTCCCAAGACTCATCAGGGCCGTGCTGTTTCTGGTGCACAGCACATCTTAACAACTCCCTGTTTTTCAACCAACAGCAAGAACAAACTCCCTGGTGTATGACAGGACCACACAACTTGGCATGGGCTGCTCCAGATAACGCCTCGGTGGAAAGACACGGTACAAAGTCTGGGCTGTTCTGGCAGATGGCAAACAGGAACTTGTCCAAAGGGAAGAGTCGTCCTGAGGATAAGACACCCTGGGGTTTTAAAACACCTCGGAGTGGACGGTACCTCTACCAGGTGGGGTATGGAAAGTTGGGAGTAGGGGAATTTGGTCTCAAATCTG